GTTTTGGAGGTCTCACAAGAGAAGATGTTAGGAGGAGACATAGGAGGATTGAAGATCAGGGGAATCTGAGCAGGGAAACCTGTGTGGAGATATTCAGGGTTTAGTACAATTCCTTTGGAGTCTGGGAAAGTCTTGCTTATTTAGTGCTCAGTTTTATCCCTTTCCAACACCGACTTCATTCTCTGAACCAACTTGATTCTTGGGAGTATAAGCCTGGCATGGTGAAACAGCAAAGATGGAAAGTTAGAATGGAGGGTCACAAGTGCTCTGCAATTTCTTTTTTTTAAAATTGAGTTTATTGGTACATTTTAGGGATATATTATAGTTACATTCATTGCTGGGATCTTGTACCTCTACATGACAGGTCTTGGTTCTCATTTTTTCCCCTTGTCCCTGTCCTCCCTTCACCCCCTCCTCCCCTCCCCTTTTACAAACACTTTAATTCCATTTTTTCATTTTCTCACATTTTTCTTTTGCAATTTCTTTATAGTAGAGTTTTAATTTAATGATTTTACTTTAGTAAAAATCTAAAAATGCTAATCTCAGATTTTTCTGAATGGCCATTCTTTAAAACATATACTATTTCTGTGTTGTTATATACATTTTTGTATCCAGCCCCATTTGCACCAAGCAAAAGCCCAATGAAATCACAGTGGCTGTTATGCATGAAGCTTTGTGGCTTCAAATAATGACAAAAGGCAGGAAAATCTTTTAATCTGGTGGCTGAGCAGTGCAGGGATGATGAATGCCAAAGAGCCTGCCTCACTGAAACGTCGCACGCATGGCAATGCACTGTGTATGCAACTGTATTTGGCAACCTGCAATTCACTAAAAATAAGTAGGTAGTAACTTCACAATAAAGGGTTTTTCTTCTTTTAATACAGGCAATGGCAAGGTTAAATGTGACACAGGCTCAAAAGTGTCACAGTGTTAATCTTATCTTCAGCTGAATTAGCTTCATGGTGGTACCAGCTGATGTGGCAATGAAGCGGGCATCTGAGAATTGCAAGCCAGCGCATTTTGTTTGAGTTCTGATGCCTCTGAACTAGCAAGCAAAGCTGTGAGACCATTTATATAATTTTGAACTTCACTCTTATGGAAATAGGTCCTACTTTAATTAGTACTCTAAAAGCCAAACTACAAAGCTGATTAAAGGAAGAACCAGACCTGAGGCTTCATTATTAAACTCAACATCATTAATTTGGTTTCAGCAAAACAGTATCTTTAGATCGGTGCTGTAAATTTGAATATTATTGTTTTTTCAGAAAGTATTTTTAGGTACTCATTGACAAATTTGTTCTGGTATTTCTCTGAAAGTTTAAAAAATGACCAAAGTAATATGATAAAAAATTCTTAGGTCCAACTGAAAGTTTTGTGAAAATTTTCTTCCTTTGAAGGGTCTATTCATTATCTTAATTTGAGAAAACTGGTTGGGAGACAGATTTGTGATTACACACTTATTAGTGGCATCAGAAATTTGTCTCATAATATTCTTTTGGTTTTATACATGATGAATGTGGTTCCCTAACCATTTATGCTTGTTTGATATATCACTAGCAACTGGCCTGGAGGAGGCATTTAATAGCAGGTCAATAAATACAGGCTAAATGGGAGTGGTCCTGGCCAGATGTGAACGGTGTGGAATGGACTGAGATGGAGTGAAATAGATTGGAAATGGATTAGAAAGAAACAGGTACATCTTTCTCTTGCTGATTCTCTAGCTGAACTGTAAGTTCTGAGTGGGAAAGGGTCTTTTTCTCTCCTATGAGAGCCCTCAGAGGTGCTCAAGCAATACACAGTAAAGGAAGATATAAAGCAAACAACCCCAAAAGTCCTACATTCATGCACCCACCAAGATCCAGGGTGCCTGTGTACCCCAATTCACACCTTGGGTCTAAACTCTTAGGTATACAGACACATACCAACACACACACACACACACGCACACACACACACACACACAGATACCCTGCACACACGCAGAGAGACATACACAGATACTCACATAAACACTCTCTCTTTGCGGACAGTTTGATGATCCAAAGTACAGCACTTCCTATGACCAGGCAGGGCCACCTGGAGCCTTGTCCCTGAGTGGCCTCCCCAGCATCTAGAAATCTGACCAGATCAGCTCAGAGAGGGTAATTGAGCCCTGGCCACATTGTCAGGAGCTCTCAAATGTCGGCAGCCTTTCTGGTACACACTCAGGCTCCGTGTCCCCATGGGCCAGCCCCGGCCAGCCAGCCTTTCAGAGCAAGAACACACTCTACTCTGGCAGGGTAGCTCTGCTGCTACCTAGGTTTCTAGGGCACCTAGGCCTGCTGGAGACCTGTCCGCCATGGTCAGTCATAGGCCATGTGTGCCACAGTGGCTCTGCATGCGAGGGGCACAAAATGACTCTGTGCCATTTCTAATGATGTATAAACAGAGCAGAAGGGAAAACCTGGCTCTGTTCACTCCCCAACTGACCTCCAGGGCTTCGTGTGGAGACTGGTTTCAGGGCAGAACCTCTGTTGGACAGGGCCTGGGAATGTGGATTTTAGCAAGATCTGCAATGCACGCGAACATTACAGAACCAATCAATTTCAGGAAGGCCGTCAGTGCTGTTGGTCCTTTCCACAGCTCTCAAGTTCAGAACGTCTGTCTTCTCTTTGTGAAAGGCCATCCTGTGAAGGTCCACAGCCACCCAGCCAGGTCTGGGAATCCTTTTTGTTTTGGTTATTTTTAAATTTACTTGGGATTGAACCAAGGCCTCTGCACTAAGCTACATCTCCAGCCTTTATTATTGTTGTTGTTATTTTTTTGAGACAGGATCTCACTAAGTCAGTAATTTGCCCAGGCTAAGCTTGAATTTGCAATCTCCTGCCTCAGCCTCCCAGAGTACTGGGATTGCAGGTGTGCAACACCATGTCCTGCTCAGGCCTGAGAACTGAGCTGGCTATGGCAGCTGACGGCCCTCTACTACCTCCAATGCTTGTGCGGCTCCTGCAGAGTTTCAGGCCATCAGGATGTAAGCTGCTCACCAGTCACTCTCCCTCTCCTGCTGTAAAATGTCTTAATCACCACCACAGATGAAGCCTTTCCTCCAGCCTCCTCCTGCTTCTGTGGCTGGAGATTGTATTTTCCTTTTCTTTGTGCAGCAGTCACGTTCTTGCATGGAGAAAGAAAAGAGCACAAGTGGCCAGTGGCTGCAATGTCTTATCTCTTAGCTGTGTTATGAGCTGTGAGTCTCCTCGAGATCAAGGGACCTATTATCAATATTAGCAGACATAGGGCAAAGTGCCAATGATGCCTCCCGTCCCCAGTGTATGCTCAGGAAAAGCAAGATAAGACAAAGGTACAAAAGAATCCTCTCTGAATCTGTCCTTCTCTCTCTCTCCTCCCCACTCCTTCCCTCCCCAGACACAGCACTGTATTCTGGAGTGCACTGAAGTGGGTGACAAGAAGACGTGACCGACTAAGGGCACAGATAGCCAAGGTTTTGTACCCTCAATAGTTGAGCTTTTGTTCCTAAAAGCTGGTGGAGGGATTTGGCACCATCATGTTCTTAATTTAGTATGCTTGTTGCTCCACAAATAATAATTGCTATCTGAAGGGCAAATACAGTCATTCCAGAAAAACTAACCTGATAAGAACATCAGAAGCCAGTCAGGGAGCCTTTGGTCCTGAGGGCTGGACAGCTGCAGAGTTCCTTACTTCTACCCAGAGTTTCTTATTCCCCTTTTCTCCAGCTGGGTCTACCAAGTGGCTTGGTTTCAGTATACATTCAACAAACCGAGTTCCTACTGTGCTTTTTCCTCAATCAGTGGTTTCTAAAGCTGAGTTCACAATGGAATCATTGGGGGTGTTTTGAAAAATACAGGTTTCAACTCCTTGAGATTGTAAGTCAGTCTGAGATGGGGCTTTGGCACCAGTATTTTTCAATGCAGTGTTTGGGTGTCTTCATTTCTTTGCTGTGGGAACTGCTGTTTTGCCTTTGAGGAGTTCACAGTCTAATTAGGGGTGGGAATGCTAGACACCCTGTCACAGTTCCACCACGTTAATCAGATGACTATAGAACCTAGAAGGTTAGACAAGACGGCATAGAGAGGAAGGCCTTTCCTCAGTGTACATCTGTGAGCTTAGATGTGAACCTTGCTGATTTTCCTGAGGTCTCTGAGGGTCAGTCTTGTTGACTGGGGATAGGAAAAGCATGTGAGGCTTAGAAACTGCCTTGGCTTCCTGTTTACATGGAAGGCATTGCGTTCCAATGATCTCCCCTCACCCCAGCTAGATGATAAGCTCCTGGCAGAGGAATGTGGAGCATGGGCTCATGGAGAGTCACAGCGTCTGGTCTCAAGAGAGAGACAAACTCAGCACACCTCAGATGACATCATCCTGAGGCAGCAGTGTGGAGGGCTTTGCCCCAGCACCTGCCAACCTGCTCTGTTGGATGTCATGGGTCCCTGGTGCTGGGGGCCATGTTCTTTTCACCTCCTTCCCTGCATTTCTGCTGGCCAAGGGAATTCACAGGAAATGCTGTCAGACTTGCTTAATCAGACCTGTGCTTAGTGCTTGAAATAAATGACTGCTGAGGGGGTCTCACACTAGGGCTCCCAGGGCATCCTGAAGGCTCTGGAGTACCGAGCAACCTGTGGCATGTGTGTCCCTATTTTGGGTTAAAATAGCATCCAGAAAATGTGTTACTGTTGAAACAGAGCTAACATGCAGTGTATTAGCCCGCACCCCACAGAAATGGAGCCGAGGGCACAGGCATAGGAAAAGCCTCGCGAGATAGTGACTCATGTGATCATGGGAGCTGAGATGTCTTATGATCCACTGTTGGCAACCTGGAGACCCAGGAAAGCTGGTGGTTAATTCCAGTCTGAGTCCAAATAGCTGATGAGAACCGAAGGAGCTGAAACGTAGGCCAGTGTCCCAGCTCAGACAAGCAGATAGTGAAAGGGTTAAATTTCTCCTTTCTCCTTTCTCTACCTTTGATTTTTTTTTTTAGACAGGTCTCACCGTGTTGCCCATTCTGGACTTGAATATATGGGCTCAAGTGACCCTCTGACTCGGCCTCCTGAGTGGCTAGGACTACAGGTACACTACCACTGCCTGCTCTTCATGTTTTTGTTCTTTTCAGATCCTCAACAGGTAGGAAGATGCCCTCTCACTTTAGTGAGGACTAAAATCTGCATTACTGAGCCCACAGAGCCAAGTTCTGGGGTAATCCACAGAAACACCTTCATGGGTGTGCCTAGTTTAATTTGTACACCCCAAATGCAACCAAACTGACACTTACAATTAACCAAAAAGGTGGACTAGTAGAAAGGAGTAGAAGCCAAAAGAGCCCTTAGGAGCGGGAAGAAAAAGGGTGAGAGTGAAGAGTATGCAAAAGAACAAGCCCTATTGCTTTGAGAAAACTTAAGTAATTGCTTTTGTGGTAAAAGGTGAGAAAGTGCTAAGAGATGAGATTTATTTTGACTTCTTTTAAATTTCAGGTTGGGGATTCTATCACCTTTTCCACCTACTTGTCACGTCTTGAGTGATGTGACCAAAAATGATTACACAGGTAATACGTTCTAGAGAAGACTCAGCTGCTTCTTTTATACTATCTTAGTTATTTTTCTTATTGCTGGGACAAAACCTCTGACACCCACAAGCTGAAGGAGGAGAGGTTTATTTTGGCTCATAGTCTGTAGTCCATAGTACGTAGTCGGCTGGCTCCAAGGAGGGCTTTGTGGCATTTACACATTTTCTTTTGTAGCTGGATCTACAGGATGCCAAGAGACAAGATGGAGAGAGAGGGATAGGCACAAGAAAGGAGGAAAGGCACGAGAATGGAAGACAGGCTGCAGGGACTGGCAGAGGTGTCGTGATTCATGTTCCCATTTGTTTGTGGGATCAAGGAAAGAAGGAAACAATGAGGATTCCTCTAGCTTGGTGCTCTGTGATGTATACAGGGCCAGTATGAGTTCTGGATAGATTAGATGGCTTCTGCGAAGGATGGCTTATGTCTCATCATGCTATGTCATTCCAGGGCCCCCAGAAAGCCTGTAACTCCCTAGGAAAAGCTCAGCTTGGTTTCAGCTCCCATGAGCAGGTGTCCATTTCCTATCACCACTGCCAGCACCATTGTCCTCTTCCTCCTCCACATTAGCTTTTGAGTACCATTGTAAGTAGTTTGGTTTAGTAGTATTTGGTTTAATGTTCACAGTAACCTTACTCATTTCCATGTTAATACTCCCTGTTTTTTTAGGTGGGGGTCTCGCTATGTTGCCCAGGCTGGTCTTGAACTCCTGGGCTCAGGTGATCTTCCCACCTCATCTCCTGAGTAGGTGAGATTTACAGGCTCTCATCATGGCTGAATCATTGTTTCCACATTAGAGGAAAGGAAACAAGATCTAAAGAGTTCAAGTCCTCATCTTTACAAAACTAGCAAGTGATGGCGCTTAGATTCGAACCCAGTCAGCATAACGCAGAACCCTCTCCTCTACCATCCTTATTGCTTTCTTTGGTTTAGAGATTTCACATCCAGTATGCTTGTTAGGAAGTTGTGAAAAGAACATGCTCTTTTGTCTTGGTTGAATGATAGTGTGGGGATCCTACATTGTGTCATTGAAATTTACTTCTAGAGTAGATCTAAATTAAATTTCTCATTTGCCAGTGGCTTTGGAGGTTTTTGACGTGATTGTCATCATCGGAAACTTTATTAAGTCCCTCCTTGAGGTCTTAGAAAACTTCGAGGTCTTGCCTTCAATGCAACTCATAGAAGAGACAGCACATAGACAAGTTTAATAAAAAGTTAAGACACTTGCTAGGAGGGAAGCATCAAAGCCTGGATGGATTCTTGATTATTACTTGCACCTCATAGAAATCATTTTGAATTTCTTGTTGGGAACCAAGGTATTCATCATTATGCCCAAGTTAAGGAAACAGGCACTTCAGGGAAAGGGAGAATAATTTGTTCATAGTTGAAGGGGGAGTAGAGGTAGCAGGGTGGGAGCTTCATATCTGGAATTATTAGGGTCTTGACGGCTTCAGATCTCATTTTCTTTCTTTTTTTAAATTAAGTTTATTGGTACATTTAAAGCAAACAATAGAGTTACATTTATCACTGGGATCTTGTACCTTTACATGATATGTCTTGTTTCTTGTTTTCTCCCCATACACCTGCCCTACCTTCATCCCCCTCACCCTTACCTATTTACAAAGACTTTTTTTCCATTTTTTCACATTTTTTATTTTTCCTGATTTCCTTTCCCCTCTCCTCCCCACTTCCCTTTTATCCATTTTCTTCCTATTTCACCCTCTCAATTATTATTTGAACCCTATTTACACTTTTAGTTTTTCATACCAGAGAAACTATTTGGTATTTACTCGTGTGTCCTATTTATTTTACTTAAGATTATAGCCTCAAAGTGTATCCATTTAGCTATAAATATTTCTAGTTTTTCATTCTTTATGGCTGAGTAGTACTCTATTTTATAGAAAAACTACATTTTCTTTATCCAGCCTCCAGTTATGGGCATTTGGGTTATTTCCAAGTTTTAGCTCTTATGAACTGTGCATATATATCACTGTGATGTGATTCTTCTAATTATTTTGGAAAGATACCCAGCAGAGGGATAGCTGGGTCAAATGGAAACTCTAATCCTAGTTCTTTGAGGTATCTTCATATTGATTTGCACAGTGGTGGACCCAGTCTACACTCCCAACAACAATGAAGAAAGGTTCCTTGCTCTCCACAGCCCCTCCAGCATTCTTTCTGGGGTCAGATGGAATCTCAGAGTTGTTTTCATCTGCATCTCTCCAATGACAGTGATGTTGAACATTTTTGCATATGTTTATTTGCTGCTTTTAATTCTTTGTCTGAGATATACTTGTTCATTTCAGATGCTCATTTTTGAATCAGGTCTTTGTATTTGTGGGGTCTGATTTTTTTGAGTTCTTTATATATTCTAGATAGTAGTCCTTTGTCTGAGGAGTAGTTGGTAAAATTTTTTCCCCACATTGTAGGTTGTCTCTTAGCTCTGTTGGTGATTTCCCTTGCACTGCAAAAACTTTTTAATACAATGAGATCCCAATTGTTGATTTGTTGTGCAAGTTCTTGGGTTGCTGAGGATTTGTTCATAAAGTCTTCTCCTATGCCAGTACCTTTGAGAGTTCTACCTAATTTAATTTCCATTAAGTTTAGTGTTTCTGTTTTGATATTTATATCTTTAATCTGCTTGATTTTAGTTTAGTGCATGGTGAAAGATATGGATGTAGTTTTAATCTTTGGCAAGTTGAGAGCCAATTTTTCCAACACCATTTATTAAAGAAGCTATCTTTCCTCCAGTGAGGATGGTTGGCTCCTTTGTCAAGGATGAGGTAGCTGAGTATGTCTGGAGTTGTTTCTGCATCTTCTAATTTATTCCACTTATCCTCAGGTCTGTTTCTTTGACAGTACCATGCTTTTTCTCTTTCTTTCTTTCTTTTTTTTTTTTTTTAAATCTCAGTGGCTTCGTGGTATAGTTTCACATTGGGAATTGTGATACTTCCTGCCATGTCTCTGTTGCCTAGAATGGTTTTTGCTATTCTAGTTCCAAATGAATTTTTGTATTGTTTTCTCAAGTTCTCTAAAATAGACTGTTAGGATTTCAATAGGTCTTGCATTGAATCCATATAGAAGTTTTGGAAGTATGGCCATTTTCACTATGTTGGTTCTTCCTACCCAGGAGCAAGGGATATCTTTCCATCTTCCTATATCCTCTTCTGTCTCTTTTTTCAGACTGCTGTAATTTTTCAGTGTAGAGGTGTTTTTTCTCCTTCATTAGACTGATTCCTAGATATTTCTTTTTTTGGGATGTTATTGTGAAAGGAATTGTTTCCCTAATTTCTCTCAGTGAGTCTGTTATTTGTGTACAGCAAGACTATTGATTTTTGAGTGTTGATTCTACTGAATCTACCAATCAAGTCTAGTAGCCCTTTGGCAGAGTTTTTTGGGTCTTCTATATAGAGTATCATATCATCAGCAAATAGTGACAGTTTAACTTCTTTGTTCTTTTTATTTCTTTCTCTTGTCAAATTGCTGTGACTGATGTTTCTAGAACTATATTGAGTAGGAGCAGTGATAGTGGACATCCTTGTCTTGTTCCTGATTTTAGTGTGAAGGTTTTCAGTTTTTGACCATTTAGAATGACATTAGCTGTTGGTTTTTCATAGATAGCCTTTATCAGGATGAGATAAAGAACATTTACTCCAATTTTCTATAGGGTTTTTAATCATGAATGGGTGTTGAATTTTGTTGAATGCTTTTTCTGCATTTATTGAGACAATCATATGGTTTTTGTCCTTGATTCTGTTGATATAGTATATTATATTTATTGATTTACATATGTTGAACCATCTTGTATTCCTGGGATGAAACTGACTTGTTCAGGGAGTATGATCTTCTTGATGATCTTCTGTATTCTGTTGGCCATTATCTTATTGAGGTTTTTGCATCTATGCTCATTGGGGAAACTTGCCTGTAGTTCTCTTTTTTGGTTGGCTCTTTCCCTGATTTTGGAATCAAAGTAATGCTTGCTTCCAGGAATGAATCTGAGAGTATTGCTTTCCTTTCAATTTCATTGAAGAATTTAAACAGTAGTGGCCATAGCTCTTCTCTAAATGTCTTACAGAATTCAGCAGTGAAGCCATCAGGACCTGGGCTTTTCTTTGTTGGTAATGTTTTAATTACATTTTCATTTTCACTGAATGTAATTGGGGTGTTTAGACTTTTTCATTCAATTTTGGAAGTTTGTATGTATCTAGGAATCTGTCAATTTCTTCTGTATTTTCAATTTTATTAGAGTACAGGTTTTCAAAGTAGGTATTGATGATCCTCTGGATTTCTGCTGGATCTGTTGTGACCTCACCTTTTTTCATTCCTAATTGCATGAATCTGAGCCTTTTCTTTCCTTTTTTCATAAGGGTTGGCTAAGGGTTTATTGATTTTATTTATTATTTTGAAAAACCAACTTTGATTCATTGATTTTTTTGTATAGTTCTCTTAGTATCCACTGCAATAATTTCTGCTCTGATCTTCATAATTTCCTCCATTTGAGCTTTTGGTTTGTCTTGCTATTCTTTTTCTAGAAGTTTAAGGTTAAACATTACTTTGTTTATTGAAGCTCTCTCTATTTTCTTAGTACGGACATTTACTGCTATGAATTTCTCTCATAGAACTGCTTTCATTGTGTCCCATAGATTCTTGTATGTTGTATTGGCATTATCATTTAATTGTAGAAACTGTCTAATTTCTTCTTTAATTTGCTCTGTGACCCAATGGTTGTTCAGCAGGGTGTTATTTAATTTCCATGTGTTTTTTTGAAGTTCTTGTGGTTTCTTAGGCTATTGATTTTAGGCTTAATTGCTTAATTAGGCTTAATTGCACTATGGTCTGATAATATACAGGGGATAACTTCAATTCCTTTGCATTTACTTAAGCATGTTCTATGAGTTAGCATGTGGTCTATTTTAAAGAATGACCTGTGTGCAGCTGAACAGAATGTATATTCTGATTTTGTTGGGTGGAACACTCTGTAG